ACCTAATTGTGTGTGTGTGTGTGTGTGTGTGTGTGTGTGTGTGTGTGTGTGTGTGTTTTATTTTGTTTTGGGTACCAGGGATTGAACTTGGGTCCTTGCAGTTGCAAAGCAGGTGGTGGAACCACTAAGCTAAATCCCCAGCCCCCAGGGTCCGTCTATATTATTGTACATATTGGGGTTTCATTTCTTTTTAAGAAGGGTAGCATTCCATTGCTTGCATATACCAGTTTTGTGTTTATCTACCCATCCATTCATAGACAGTTAGGGAGCTTCTACCTTCTGGTTGTGAGTGTTGCTATGAATTTTGGCATACAGATGTCTGTTTACATCCCTGCTCTTTTAATTCACTACATAGCCCAGGCTGGCCTCAAACTCACAGCGATCCTCCTTCCTCAGCCTCCCAAGTCCTGGGATTATAGGCATGCGCCACCATGCCCAGCTTTTCATACCTGCTTTTGATACAACTAGGGTACTGACAAAGCTCGTAGACCTCTTTCAGTCAGTGTTTCTTCTGCTCATCTGTGCAGCACATACACACAGCCTTGTGTGGGTGTATTAAGTTCCGCACAACTTTGGCAGATGTGGTTTAGGAACCACCTTGACAGCCAGTATATGAACAGTTCCAGTATCACAAAGATCCCTCAAGTCACCCTTTGTAACCACATCCATCCTCCACCCCACCTGGCCCTCACCCTCAGCAACTACAAATCTGATCATCACTTCTCAAACTTTGTCATTGCAACAAAAGTTATTTAAATGGAAGAATAACACAGTATGAAACCTTTTGAGAGTGAGTCTTTTCACTCAGCATAATTTCTTGAAGATTTATCCAATACTCCATTCCTTTTATGGCTGTAGTGATCCCAGTGGGTTCGTACTGTAGTTTCTTTGGCCGTTCACCTGCTGACAGACATCTGGGATGATTCCAGTTTGAGGCTACTACAAATACAGCTGGTATGAACATTCAGGTGCAGGCTTTTGTGTGGACATGGTTTTACTTTCTCTGGGATAAATGCCCAGGAATGTATTCTGGACTATGGATATACCACAGTATTAACCATTCACCTGCTGAAGGAAATCTGGGTTATTTCCAGCTCGAGCCCATTGTGAATGCTATAAAGATTTGTGCACAGACTGTTGGGAACATAAATCATCATTTCTCTGGGGAACATGCGAAGTAGTACAGTTTCTGGGTCATCATATGATATTTGTATGCTTGGCTTTTTCTTTTTTTCCTAGTGCTGGGGATGAAACAAAGAGTTCAATGTGCTGAGCAAATGCTCTGCCGCTTAGGTACACGCCCAGCCCTGCATGTTTCATTTTTTAAGATTTTTTTCATTGCCAGGCACAATGGTACACGACTGTAATCCCAGCACTATACAAGGATGAGGCAGGACAATCGCAAGTTCAAGCAGCCTGGGTAACTTAGCAATTTAGCAAGAGACAAGACCTTGTCTCAAAATAAAAAAGGCTGGGATGTAACTCAGTGCAAAGTTACTGGGTTCAATCCTCAGTACAGAAGGAAAGGGAAAGAAAGAAAGGGAGAAAGACCTCCACGTTTTCACCAGGACCTCCCCGAATCCCATGGCCTAGGGTTTCTGAAGGTTCCATGATGTAGGCATCGTTGGTTAAATCATTGGCCACTGGTTATGGAATTCAGTTGCTGGGGACTGGGTCCAACCTTCTGATCGTATATTCAGTTCCTCTGGCAACCAGTCACCATCCTCCCAGAGTTGTTACTGAGCCACACCCTATTTTGTTCACTACACCAGACGCCAATCACTGAAACAACAAATTTTGCAAACCCATAAGATTATATCTCCTTGGGCCGGGGATTTAGCTCAGTGGTTCAGTGGCCTTGCCTTGCAAGTGCAATGTTCCAAGTTCAATCCCTGGTACCAAAAAAAAAACCAAACAAACAAAAAAATTATATCACCTAGTGACATTATAGCCATCTCAGTTTAAATAAATACCCTCTATGATGTTTACACAGCACCAAAATGCATGGCAATGATTGTCTGGGACTGCAGGCATTGCTTCACATACAGGACATGACCTAGATGTCGCTACAGCTTCCACCACCCTGTATTGCACCCCAACTCTGGAGCTCAGGATCATTTGTTGTTCACCACTGGACTGGCGCTGTTTTCTTACTGAGCACCTGAATAATAGAAGAAAAGAGCTCCAAAAGGGAAATATCTGATGACCATCTCAAGTGTATCAATGCAAAGCCAGGACCAGAATGCCAGTGCCCCTTTCTTCTGAGGACACTTTGGCCTGAATCTCTGATTCATGTCCACGTGGCAGTGCCAGGAAAGGCTTTTGCTCTGAAGTACTCAGAGGGGACAGAGGCCCAGGACACCATGAGGTCTCCCTGGCTCCCACTGGGCCAGTGGGTGACCTCGGAACTCCGACTGAACACAAGGGTCTGGTCATGTGAGTGAGGAACTACCGTCAGGACCTGGCCACAGATACCCAAGAAGCAGGAAGTGCCTGAAATCAGAGCTCTTTGGGGAAGCACAGAGCACAGGGTGCCTGGAAGGGAGCCAGAGATGATGTGGGGCAGAAGGCAGCCATGAGAGGAACGAAGGTCTACACTGTGGGTGACCAAGCCCTTCCGCTACAGCTGGCTACTTCTGCCTTTGGAAGGTGTTTCGCAAGCCTTGAGAATGTAAATGTGCATCTGCACAGGGTGATGAAAGCGACGAGAGCCAGAGAGGATGGAAGAGCGGCTGTGGGCCCCCACACCCACTCGCTCACAGCTCACTCGCACAGATGGGTGCATTCAAGGGGCTGCCTCAGAGACCACCTGACCCCCGTGGCCAAACGACGAGTGAGTAGTGGCCTCTGGGGAAAGAGCCTGACTCGGGCAGGGGACAGTGTGGGGAGAAGACTAGGTCTGCAGGAGATTTGGGGAGGCAAGGAAGCCCCTGGTCCCCCATGGGTGTCCTGGTGGAGACCACAGGCCAACACCTAACACACTGGTGGATTGGGTTCTTTGCATCCCTCCGAGCCCCCTGAAGCTTCCTTGACACGAGAGGAGGCAGAGGGTGTGGGATTGAGACAGCGGCCTCAGCTCGCCCTTCTCAGAGCCCAGTGTCTCTCTTGCATGCTTTGAGGCAGGAGACCTGGGTTTGGGGGTCTCTGTGCTTACTGGGAGGAAAGTAATCCTGAAGCCTCTGTCTTCTCTGGAATGTGGAGGGATGGAAGGGATGGACTTAAAGGGGGGGCCTTCATTCCTTCATTCCTCCTCTTTGACAAGAAGAGGGGGAGAGGAGGCAGGTGGCCTGACCCCTGGGCTCTTGAAAGAAGGGAAATACTTAGCATGCTTCCTGGGGCCTTTTTCAAGGTGACAGGCACCCCCAGAGCCTGAGCAGGCCCACCTATGGCTCCATCTCCAGCTCGCCACATCCGGGGCCACAGCAAGCGCCTCCCCAGCAGACCTACCTAAGCAAGAAGATCCCCATCCCGGATGCAAAACCGGTGGGAATGCTGGGAACTTTCCAGGTTGCAGAGATCCTCTGGGATCTCACAGATGGGGGGACTGGGCATCTCCTGTGACCATGGCAAGTCTCTTTCCATTCTGAGCAGCAGTGGCAGACAGAAGCAACTGCCCTATATCTGCTCATGTTGCCAGCCCTTAGCTGGACCACTCCAGAGTTGTCTAAAAATGAACAAGTCTCTTTCCAAATAAATCTCAGCTTTCCTGAGAGGGAGAAGGGCCTGAGGCAATTTAGGATGGGCACCTGGAAGGATTTGCTGTAAGGCAAAAATGCTTGGACCCAGGCTGCGGTCTAAAAAGAAGCAGAAGAGGCTGTAGTCTGGTGGCTAGGACCTTGTCACCTGCATTGCTAGAATCTCCAGCAGATCCCTAGGTTGACAGGCCAAGCCTGGATCAGGGTGGGGAACTACTGCACCCTCAGTGGACCCCAAAGAGGAGACCCTGTAGTCCAAGAAGGGGCAGGGGAGAGAGAAGCTGGACCAGGAGGCTTGGCCCTCACTAAGCACCATCTTGGGGCTCTGAGGACCACTAAGCCAAGCCTGTGGGAGGCAGGCAGGTGAGGTACAGGCTCACTGTGGAGGCTGCTGACCATGACCTGACTCTTCCAGAAAGCAGATCCACTAGGACTCAGCAAACCCTGCCAATTCCACCACCCCGTGCTCTCCCCTGTGCCCTGGAAGAGGTGGCGGAGCTCCGGGAACGGGCAAGGAGGACAGGGCTGGCCTGCTGTGCTGAGCTGAGGACTGGCCAAGGCCAGCTGTGGTAGCTGTACCCGGGGCCAGCTCCCTCACCACTCCTCTCACATTCTTCACTTTTACCCCCTTCATCACCCCCAGGGCACATTCAGCCTGCGGAAGCTGTGGGCATTCACAGGACCTGGCTTCCTCATGAGCATCGCTTTCCTGGACCCGGGAAACATTGAGTCAGACCTTCAAGCTGGCGCTCTGGCTAGATTCAAAGTAACTGATGGGGGCTTGTGTGAGGACCCGGGGGGAGAGGTGACCTGGGTGTCCAGGTCTTCACCAGGACACCCAGGCTAAGAGGGCAGAGACCGCAACTTGCCCTGTTTCCCCCCGGCAGCCACAAGGAGCCAGCTTCAAGTGCAAATGGGCCAGAAAAGGGTTCCCAGGGCAGCTCTGAGCATGGGGAAGGGTGGTCTTTCCACTTCGGCTCTCCCACCCTCTCTCTCCCCATGGCCTGTCCTTCATCCGAAGGTGCCACCTAGTCTGGGTCTCCCTAGGATGACCCCTCTGCTGAAGGTTTCCCCTGTCTCCTCACAGCTGCTTTGGGTACTGCTCTGGGCCACAGTGCTGGGCTTGCTCTGCCAGCGACTGGCTGCCCGGCTAGGCGTGGTGACAGGCAAGGACTTGGGCGAGGCCTGCCATCTCTACTACCCTAAGGTGAGCTTGGGGCCTGGGGCCAAGAAGGAAGCACAGATGCCAAACCCCGAGTAGCCATTTCCAGCTTCCATGATCAAAGAAACCGTGACCTCACCCAGGCACCTCAAATCCAGTTGCTAGATAGAAAGTCTGAGTCTCAGACTGAGAAGGACAACAGAGATGATAGGGTTGTTCCACAGACGGCAGTGAGCTGCGGCAGCCCCGAATGCTTATTGCTGGGCTGGGCCTGGGGACTTGGCTGCTGTCAGGGCCCAGTTAGGAAAACTGAAATCACACCGTGATCTAGTTCAAAGGAATTTCGTCCAGGTATCGAGTCACTTCAGGTGTTGAAGGGCTAGAGGAGCAAGGGCAGATGGTGCCGCCAAAGCTTAGAAAGCTGCTACATCTGTAGCTCAAGCCCAAGAGGCACCCAGCACACAGTTTTGGAAAGAAAAGTGGGCTAGGAAGGCAGGCTTGCTCCTATATAACAATTCTCAGCCCTTGGAAACGACAGCATATCCCTCCTGAGGGCAGCACACCCAGTCAACTAGTAACAGTCCTTTTTTTTTTTTTTTTTTTGGTACCGGGGATTGAACTGGGGGTCCTTGTACTTATGAGGCAGGTATGTAGCACCCTTTTTTTTTTTAATCTTACCGAGTTTATTGGTACTTTTTAGGTATACAGTACAGTTACATTCATCATTGGGATCTCGTACCTTCACACGATAGGTCTTGGTTCTCATTTTTTCCCCATTCCCCTGCCCTCCCTACCCTGCCCCACCGTCCCCTATTTACAAAGACTTTGTTTCCATTTTTTCCTTTTCTCATATTTTTTCTTGTCCCTTATTTCCTTTCCCCTACTCTTCCCACTTCCCCTAGCACCTTTTCTTTATCCATTCGTCTATTGATGGGCACTAGGCTGCTTTCCTATTTTGGATATTGGGGCTTGTGTTGCAATAACCATGGGCATGGAGGTATCGCTCTAGTCTTACTTTGCTGATTTTAATTCCTTCAAGTATATACCAAGGAGTGGTATAGCTAGGTCATAGGGTAGTTCCTTTTTCAGGTTTTGTGTGTGTGTGTGTGTGTGTGTGTGTGTGTGTGTATGTACAGGGGACCAAACCCACAGGTGCTCTGCCACTGAGCTACTTTTTTAAAAGATTTTTTTCAGAGGCTGGGAGTGGTGGCGCACTCCTGTAATCCCAGCACTCAGGAAGCTGAGGCAGGAGGATCACTGTGAGTTCAAGACCAGCCTGGGATACACAGTGAGTTCCAGATCAGTCTCAACTACGTAGTGAGACCTTGTCTCAAAAAAAAAAAAAGATTTTTTTTCAGAGTCTCCTAAAGTTGCTCAAACAGGACTTGAACTTGAACCTTCCTGTCTCAGCCTCCCAGAGCGCTGGGATTACACCATAACACTTAGCTCTATTTTTAGTTTTTTGAGAAATCTCCATACTGATTTCCACAGTGGCTGTACAAATTACAGCCCATCAGCAGTATAGAAAAGTTCCTCCTCCATATATGCACCAGCATTTATTATTTTTCATATTCTTTTTTTTCTGTTTTTTTTCCTTTAAAATTTTTTTCTTTTTCATATTATCGATGATAGTCACTCTGACTGGTGTGACATGGAATTTTAATATTGTTTTATTTGCATTTTCCTAATGGCTAAAGATGTTGAACTTTTTTAAAAAATGCTTATTTGGCCATTTCTACTTCTTTTGAGAAGTCTGTTCAATTCATTTGCCCACTTATTGATTGGAATTTGACTTTTTGGTGTTTTTTGAGTTATTTATGTATTACAGATATTAATTCTCTGTTGGAAGAGTAGCTGGCAAAGATTTTCCCTCATTCTGTAGATTGTCTCTTTATTCTTTTGTTTCCTTTGCTGTGTAAAACCTTTTTAATTTGATGTATTCCATTTATTGATCTCCATCATCAATTCTTGTGCTGTTGGAGTCCTATGAAAATAGTATTTGACTGTATCTATGGCTTAAAGTGTTTTCCCTATGTTTTCTTCTAGCAATTTCAAACTTTGGGTCTCATACTTAGGTCTTTGATCCATTTTGCACTGATTTTTGTACAGGATGAGAGACAGGGATCTGTTTCAGCCTTTTACAAGGATATCCAGTTTTTCCAGCACTGTTTGTTAAAGAGGTCGTCTTTTCTCCAATGTGTGTGTGTGTGTGTGGTGGGGTTTTTTTTGGTTTTTTTTTTTTGCTCATTTGTCAAGAATCAGATGGTTGTACTTGTGTGGATTTGCCTCTGTGTCCTCTGTTTTATTCCACTGATCACATTTTTTTGTCTTGTTTTGCCAGTACTATTACCGTTTTTGTTACTATGGCTTTGTAGTATAATTAGAAATCTAGTGTTGTAAGTCCTCCAGCCTTGCCCTTTTTGCTTCGGATTGCTTTGGCTATTCTGGATCTTCTGTGTTTCCATATGAATTCCATGATGCGTTTTTTTCAGTTCTGTAAGAAATGTCATTGGAAATTTGATGAGGATTGCACTGAATTTGTAGGTCACTATCAGTAATGTGGCCATTTTATTTAATTTTTATTTTTATTAGTACATGTTTGCAGTACATAATGATTACATACACTATGGGGAGTTGACACATGTACATAACACATCTTCATTCTTTTTTCACCTCTTTTCCTTTCTCCCCCCTCCCTCCATCTCTTGGTCACTTTAGTTTTTGCAAAAGATCTATCTCCCTGTTTCCTTTTATTTTGCTCTTTAATTTTGTTTTTTGTTTTTTTTGTGTGTGTATGTTTTTTTATTTGTTTGCTTTTTGAGACAGGGACTCACTATGTAGTTGAGACTGACCTGGAACTCACTGCAGCCCAGGCTGGTCTCAAACTCACAGCAATACTCCTGCCTCAGCCTCCCGAGTGCTGGGATCATAGGTGTGTGCCACCACGCCCAGCTTGCTGTTTAATTTGTTTATTATGAGTTTCTCATATAAGAGAAACCATGCAATATTTAACCTTATGTGTCTTTATTGCACTTAACATTATAGTCTCCAGGTGCATCCATTTTCTCTGCAAATGATGCATTTACCCTTTTTTATAGCAGAGTAGTGCACTGTATATAAATACCACCTTTTCTTTATCCATTCATTGTCGATGGACATAAGCTACTTCCAAGATTTAGTTATCATGAGGTGTGCTGCTATGAAGATGAGCATGCATGAATAACTCTAATATGATCTTTTGTAAAGATAGCCAGAAGGGCAACAGCTGGAGCAAATGGAATTTCTAGTTTTACTTTTTTGGGGGGGTACCGGGGATTAAACTCCGGTCCTTGCATTTGTGAGGCAGGCAGTAGAACCACTGAGCCAAATCCCTGACCCTCTAGTTTTACTTTTTTGAGGCATCTCCATACTGATGTGCATAGTGGTTTACTAGTTTACATCTCTGTCAGCAATGTGGAAGATTTCTTTGTCCCTCACAATCTCACTAGCATTTGTAACTTTATTTTATTTTTGGCTTTTGGGGATAGGGACTTGTTATGTAGCTCAGGCTGTCTTCAAACTTGTGGCAACTCCCCTGCTTCAGCCTTCTGAGTGCTGAGATTACAGGAATGCATTACCACACCCAACTTATTATTTGATTTTTTGATGATAGCCATTCCTTGTGATGGAATCTCAATGGTGTTTTAATTTGCATTTCTCTAAAAGCCAGGGATGTTGAAGACTTTTTCATGTATTTATTGGCCATTTGTATTTCTTTTTTTAAAAATTGAGTTTATTGGTACATTTTAGGGATACAGTACAGTTACATTCATTGTTGGGATCTTGTACCTCTACATGACAGGTCTTGGTTCTCATTTTTTCCCCTTGTCCCTGCCCTCCCTTCACCCCCTCCTCCTCTCCCCATTTACAAACACTTTATTTCCATCTTTTCATTTTCTCACTTTTTCTTTTCCCTTATTACCCTTCCCCTACCCATCCCACCTTCCCTACACCTTTAGCCCTTTTCTTATACATATTAATACACTCCTAAGTGAAATAAATAAGTCACACATGTGTATTTCTTCTTTTGAGACATATCTATTCATTTCAGTTGCCCTGATTATCTCTTTTATTGGGGGGTCATCTGATTTTTTTAGGGTTTTTTTTTTTGTTTGCCATAATAAAGCCTTATTCTTTAATTTCATTTATGTTTTTCTTTTTCTTTTATTTATGTTTCTCACTATGTAGTTCAGGCTTTGAACTCACTACAGAGCCTGGGCTGGCCTCAAGCTCACAGTGATCCTCCTGCCTCAGGCTCCCGAGTTCAGTTCTTTATATATTCTAGATATTAGTCCTCTGTCTGAGGAATAGCTAGCAAAATATTTTTCTCATTCTGTAGGTTGTCTTTTCACTCAGTTTGTTGTTTAATATGGGTATCTTAACAATATTTATGGTCATAGGAGGTCTTTCCATATTCTAGTGTCTTCAATTTCTTTCCTCAGTATTCTCTATTTTTCAATGTACAGGTCTTTCACCTTCTTGGTTAGGCTGGTCTTTAGGTGTTTTTATTTTATTTTGAAATGATTGTGAATGAAATTGTTTTCTTGATTTCCTTCTCAACTTGCTCATTATTGGTGTATAGAAAAGCTTTTATTTTGTTTTGTTTTGTTTTGTGTTTTTGAGACAGGGTCTCACTATGTAGTTGAGACTGACCTGGAACTCACTATGGAGCCCAGGCTGGTCTCGAACTCACAGCGATCCTCCTGCCTCAGCCTCCCAAGTGCTGGGATTACAAGCATGTGCCACCATGCCAGGCTGGCTATTGATTTTTTAATGATTTTGTACCTTGACAACAACTTACTGAATGAAGGAACATGTCCTCCTTTAGGTGCCCCGAATCTTCCTCTGGCTGACCATCGAGCTGGCCATTGTGGGCTCAGACATGCAGGAGGTCATTGGCACAGCTATCGCACTCAATCTGCTCTCCGCTGGACGGTACCACTCCAGGGCTCACATGCCTTTCAGTCCAAAGGTGTAGGGAGCTGCCGCTTCTTCCCCAGGCCGTATCCCTCCCGAGTCCATTTTATCCCGAGGTCCCACTGACATAGATAAGGCTGAGGCTGAATTTGCAAGGATGTAAAGTGTCTCCTCTAAAGTCACATAGATGTGAGCCATACAGCTTGAACCCTGCTGTGCCTGGTCCCTAACCTGGCTTTGCCCTTCCTGGGTTCTCTGTACCATTTCCCATACACTCCACCCCCCTGGCCCTACATCCAGGCCTTGGTTCCTGCTTGAAGGAGCCTGGATTCCCATCCCTGAGGTTGGGAGTCCTAGACCAGGTGGGCTGACCTAGGCCAATGTGGTTTCAGAATTCCGCTCTGGGGTGGCGTCCTAATCACCATCGTGGACACCTTTTTCTTCCTCTTTCTGGATAACTATGGTGAGCGACTTGCGCGGTACAGGACCAGAGGGGCCTGATGTGGGCGGAGCCTGAGGACCAGCTCACCCGGAAGGGGCGTGGCTCTGCCACTGAGGGGTCGGGCTAGCTGAGAAGCTTGCTTTGCTTGGGCTTCGGTTTCTTCACCTATTTATTATCTGGCGAAAAGAATAGCACGGACGTCATAGGGCAGTGAGGTAATAGTGCAGGTTAGCCCTTGGCACAGTCCCTGCAGCAAAGTGCTCAGAATATTAGCCATTATAATTGTGTGTGTTACAGGGTTTGTTTGTTCTGCCCCTTTGCCATGCTCCTAGGGTTGCGGAAACTGGAAGGATTTTTTGGACTCCTTATTACCATTATGGCCTTGACCTTCGGCTATGAGGTGGGGAGTCCTACCTGCACCCCGCCCTCCTTCTCTCCCATCCTCCAGCTTAGCCCCAGGGGCTGGGGGAACAGCCCCTACCCAGTCCCCTGGCTCCCGGAATTCTGTGAGCATCCAGGACGGGTGTCGGGGGGGGGGGCTGACCAGGCTCTCCCCACAGTATGTGGTGGCGCGTCCTGAGCAAGGGGCGCTTCTCCGGAGTCTGTTCCTGCCCTCCTGCCAGGGCTGCGGCCAGCCGGAGCTGCTGCAGGCCGTGGGCATCGTTGGCGCCAACATCATGCCTCACAACTTCTACCTGCACTCGGCCTTGGTCAAGGTGAGCAGAGAGAGGGGAGGGAGAGACCAGACACCCGCTTCCTAGATCAGGCTGGCTCCTTCCTTCAGGGTTTGAGGTGGGAGCTGAATCATTGTCTATTTGTTAACCTATAATAATAAAGTTTGTCTGGTGTGATGTCACACACCTGTAATCCCAGCACTTGGGAGGCTGAGTCAGGAGGACGGGAGGCTCCAGCCCAGTCTGGATAACTAGTGACTTAGTGGGACACTGCTGCAAAATGAAAAATAAAGAAGGCCTGGGGATATAGCTCGGTGTGAAGGTTCTGGGTTCAACTCCCAGTGCCAATAAAATACATAAATAGGAGTTGAGGTTTGAAGGGAGCATGGGTAGAAGTGTGAGGGTGGGGACGCTGAGGTGATCCTGAGGGACTCAGGCCTTTACCTTGCCTTTGGCTTTCATAGTCTCGGGAGGTAGACCGAGCCCGCCGGGCAGACATCCGGGAAGCCAACATGTACTTCCTGATTGAGGCCACCATCGCCCTGTCTGTCTCCTTTGTCATCAACCTCTTCGTTATGGCCGTCTTCGGGCAGGCCTTCTACCAGCAAAGCAACCTGGATGCGGTGAGACCCCTTTTCCCGGGCAGACCCAGCTCCATACACGAGGCAGTGGAGCTTTACCTGGGATCCCAGGCTACATGACTGCCTCCTTCTAAGTCTCTGCCCCAGGCTACAGGCCTGATCCTGTCTCCTGATAATCCCACTGTCAGAAGAGAAGCAACATTGGCTGAGCAAATAATTACTGAGCATTTGAGAGAGACTGGGCGGCTCCTGGACTGTGGGGCAGAGCAGTCAGTGATGTGCCCCATGTAGATTGCATAGAGAAGAGGCAAAGAGACAGGAGAGAAACCAGTGCTACACAGGACCACAGAGAAATGGAGCTGTCGTGAAGCATAACTGGCAGCTGGGAGCGGGGTGGCCAGGAAAGCCTTCTAGTTGGAAGTGACACTTTTGTAGTGACTGAGCAGGTGCTGGCAGCTCTTCCTGGCTCTTTGGGATTTGGATCTGTGTCTGTGGTTCGGAGTGGAGCCATTACAACTGCCAGCCACTGTTGGGTGCTTACTTAACGCTGAGCATTGTGGGGGAGGCGTGGACGGGCCTCTTGGGACAACTGGCCTTGCTGTGTGATCTGGGATGGTGGCTCATGTCCCTCCCTGGGTCTCATCCGGTCTTTGCCACAAGGAGAGAGTACTAAATAGTGATTGAGAGCCCTGCCAGGCATCTGAATTGCTTCTCGGTGGCAATTCCAGTTCTTACGAACCCAAGAGAGGCTGGAAACCGACCCCCGCGTGAATTCTTCCCAGTTTTAAACGTTGGCAAGAAATTCTCATTAAAGACAAAAAAACTCCAAAAACTTGAGATGCAGTGGGGCACTCCTGTAAACCCAGCACTCTGGGAAGTTGAGGCAGGAAGATGGCAGGTTCAAGCCTAGCCTGGGCAATTTAGGGAGACCCTGTCTCAATATAAACATAAATAAATAGGGTTGGGGATGTAGCTCAGTGAGAAGGCCTTGGGTTCAATCTCTAGTTCAGAAAAAGAACGGTAGAAAGGAAGGAAGGAAGGAAAGAAAAAAATGCTAGTCAAACGCGGATGAGGGCGGATTCAGTCTGGGCCACCGGTTTTGACCCCCATCAAGACCAGGGGAGCTGCTTTTCCAAGACTGAGTGTGTGCTTCCAATCTCCCTGCTGCTGGCCTGCAGTTCAACGTTTGTGCCAACAGCAGCCTCCACGACTACGCCAAGATCTTCCCCAGGAACAACCACACAGTGTCTGTAGACATTTACCAAGGAGTAAGCTCTCGGGTTGTGCGGACGCGGAGGGTGGAGTCCGGCCCGGCTCTCGCCACGCCCACATCGGGGCGGAGCCTCATGGGCGGGTTCACATTCTGACCACACCCCTCCCCACAGGGCGTGATCCTGGGATGTCTCTTTGGCCCTGCAGCCCTCTACATCTGGGCTGTGGGTCTCCTGGCTGCAGGGCAGAGCTCCACTATGACGGGCACCTACGCGGGGCAGTTCGTGATGGAGGTGGGCTGCGGGGCGGGGGGCGGGTGCTGTGGTCCAAGGAAGACGGGTACATTTCTAGGGCTCGGACACTGGGCCTTAAAGGCAGCCCAGAGCGCCGCGCTAGAAAATTGAGAGGTGGGACGGGCAGCTTGGGGAAGCCGCAGGTACAGGACTACCAGGAACCTGTTCCCAAAAGCCTGTTCAGTCCTTCCCCCATTCCTTTAACACGTGCTCTATCCACTGATAACGCACCAAGCAGCCCCCATTTTAGAGATGGGAAACCAGTGTCCTCCAGGCGGGAGGTGGGCTGAGAGAGACAGAGGGTCCCTCTTCAGGAGCTCCCAGGCTGCCCTCATCAAGGTGCTCTCCTCCACCCAGGGCTTCCTGAAGCTGCGGTGGTCTCGCTTCGCCCGGGTCCTCCTCACCCGCTCCTGCGCCATCCTGCCCACCGTGCTGGTGGCTGTCTTCAGGGACCTCAGGGACCTATCGGACCTAAACGATCTGCTCAACGTGCTGCAGAGCCTGCTGGTGAGGCCGGCCGGGGGTTTAAATAGAAACATAGCAACCCCTGTATCCTAAAGCCACTTGGCCTTGAGGCTCACGGGACCCCATAGCCACAGGGGTAGGAGTCGCTGTGATTCCAGTTTTACAGATGGGAAAACTACGCACCAAATTAGTTAATCCCTGGCGGAGCTAAGATTCACACCCGGGCAGCCCCCACATTCTGCTCCTGTGGTGAAAGGCAGAGGAGCAGGCAGGTGGGGAGAGGCTGCCAGGCAGAGGCTGTGGCCCCATGGCTGTTCCTCCCCCTGCTGGAGGAGGTGTCAGTCCCTCAGCCTCAGCACTGGGGGACTCTCTGCAGCTTCCCTTTGCTGTGCTGCCCATCCTGACATTCACCAGCATGCCGGCTATCATGCAGGAATTTGCCAATGGCCGGTGAGTACTCAGCAACCCAGAGGTTGGGACTGCTATTATCCCCATTATCCGAATGAAGCAACTGAGGCTCAGAAAGGCGAAAGAGTTTGCTGAGGAACTGGGCATAGTGTTGCATGACTGTAATTCCTGCATTCTAGGAGGCTGACAAGTTCCAGCCCAGTTTGGACAATTTAGCAATTTAGTGAGAGCTTATCTCAAAAACAAAAGTAAACTAAAGGGCGGGGCTGGGAAATGTAACTCAGGGTGAAGGCCCCAGGTTCAGTCTTCCATGTCAAAAAAATAAATAAAAGAACTAGCCCAAGGCCACCCAGCTAACTGGCAAGTGGGGGGTGGGGTGGCAGGACGAAAATCTAGGGTGGAGACTTTCCAGAGCCTGCACTCACTCTACCTCACCCGTTGTCAATTCCTGCCACTGTGGAACCTGGAGGGCCAGGGGAAAGGAGTGGGCAAGGAGTCTCTGCTTCTAGCCCCACAACCCACAGAAGAGGGCTGTGTGTATCCCGTCCCCAGCTCCAGGCCAGCTGGCCACAGGAGGAGGAGTGGGGAAGGTGATGCCTGTGGTTTGTCTGCATCTGCCCATTCACCGCCCTCCTGTCACCCAGGCTAAGCAAGGTGGTCACCTCCTGCATCATGGCCCTGATCTGTGCCATCAACCTCTTCTTGGTGGTCAGCTACCTGACCAGACTCTCCCACCCTGCCTACTTTGGTCTCGTAGCTGTACTGGCCGCAGCCTACCTGGCTCTCACTGCCTACTTGGTACTGTACAGCCAGGGGAGCCTTGGGGGTGGGGGAGGGGAGAACGTGCCACCTGGGGGGAGGGGAACCCAGCCCCTTCTGCTCTCATGGTCGCCCCTCCCCCAGGCCTGGACCTGCTGCATCGCACTCGGAGCGACCATTCTGACCCATAGCTCCCACCAGCACTTCCTGTATGGGCTCCATGAAGAAAAGCAGAAGGATGAGGAGAGCTCTGGATGAGCCCCGACGCAGGGTCTGGCTAAGAGGTGGCCAGAAGGGAGCAGACTGGCTTGCCGGACACCCACAGTTGCAGCCAAACACTTTTGGAGGCTGGCCCAGTGGGGTCCTTGAGGACTTGCTTTTTTTAGTTTAGATAAATGCTTAACCTCTGTGTCTGTGTCATCTGTAAAACGGGGATAACCACCACTTTGACATGAATGTAAAGCACTTTAACACAGTTCTCAGTTCTCAGCACTTGTGGCTTTTTATTTTTATTTTTTTTTATTTTTTTGTACCGGGGATTGAACTCGGGTCCTTGTGTTTGCAAGGCAGGCCACCACCGCTGAGCTAAATCCCCGACCTATGGCTTTAAAAAAAAAATCATTTAAAAATATTTATTGACAGAGGGTGTGCAGGCCTGTATTCAGAGCTACAAAATGCCAAGACAGGAGGATCACAAGTTCGAGCCCACTCTGGGCAACTTAGAAACTTAGCGAGACCCTATTTTTAAAAAGTTAAAAGGGCTGGGTATACAGCTGAGTGCCAAAGTTCAAGCTTCAATCTGCAATACAAAAAAAAAAAAAAAAAAAAAAAAAGGAAAAAAAATACTGAGCACTGAGTGTGATCCAATAGAGACACATGGGGAGGGGCTGGAAGTGACACAGTCTCCAAACTGGCACGTAAAATAGATCCTTACAAATACTAAACAAACACCAGCTTCCTTTTCTTCCAAAGAGGTACGAACACAAACCCGGAAGGCTCTAAAGCTCTGAGAGCCCCCAAATGTTTGGTTGGTTCGGGCTTCCGCTGCTTTAGCTGTACCTGCAACCCATTTCCCGGCTGTAAAATGAGTTCTTTCTCAGACGCCAAGTCTTAAGGAACCCGAGTCCGTGCCTCCCAGGTCCAGTGACCTTGCTATCTTCCCAGGGGCCCGGACAGACAAGACTCCGACGCTGCGTGGTTAAAGTTCCGTCCCTGCTGATTTCTGGCTCCCCCTAGGGGCAGGGACGGTCCCGAGCTCTCGCGCTCTCCTTGGGCGTCACCCTTGGGGCCCAGGAGAACGACACGGTTGGCAAGAAACGGAATCTTGCGCCGGGGGCTGCAGAATCTTCTCCAGCAAGGAGGTGGAGAATAGCTGTGTGGGCCAGGGAACCCATTCTTCCACCAGGAGCGGCCTGGCACCCCTTTCGCCCCGTGCAGAGGCTGTACTTTACAGACGGTCCCTAGGCTGTTTCTAGGCTCCCCTAAGTCCCACCTACTAGCTCCTAGGTCCTTCGGACTCCAGCCTACGAGCCGCTGGGAGCCACAACGGCGTAGGGCGTGGGGGCGCCAAGCTTTTCCCAAGAGTTAAGCCTGGAGCAGGTGGGGTGCCTGCCTGCACCCACGATTTTGCGGGGACCCAGCAGGGTGGGCGGCCCGGCTCCGCGCTCAGGTTGGCTTGTTTATGAGAAGAATTTTTTCTTTCTTAAAAGGGCAACTGTGAGAGTGGGGCCCACAAGGAAAGACGGGATGGGACAGGTCTGGTGCAACCTCGGCAGCTGCCAGAAAGGGCGCGGAGGGAGAGGGCCGCCCACCGCTTGCTCCGGGCTCGCCTCTGGAGAGAGGACTGGATCTACGAAGCCGAAGACCGGGGCGGTAGTGAAGAAGGGCATCGCCTAGATCCTTCTCCAGCTGCGAAATACGTGTCCTGGCTGTAACCCCCCCCCCCCCAGATCAATTCACTTGGTATCAACTGGGTGCCAGTTCTGCGCCCGGGCCCGTGCTTGAGGCGGGGAGGAGGCAGAGTCCCAAATTAAAGATGTGAGCTGTCAAGGAGTTCACACCCCAGGGGACAAGTTCACTGAACAGCAGGATGAGGATAAGGCGGGAGGAGGGGACCCATGCACAGGGTTTTGAGAGAAGGAAGAACAGTCCCACCATAGTGAGTGTAGCAGAGCAGGGTCCGGTGTGCACTGTGCAGGATACGGAACCTTCTGAGGAGAGTCCAGAGGCGCTGAGGGCTGCTCACAGGAACAGTGAGCCTAGGACTGGAATGGGGCCAGGGGAGATAATGAGGCTCAGCTAAGAAGTTGGCGTGGGCCTGGGCCAGGGGTCAGCCACCAGCGCAAGACAAAGTCATGTGCCACGGAGAGCCTTGCTTGGGGCTGCCCTCACCTCCAGAGTAGTCGTGGTTCCCGCAGCCCCCAGACTCACGATGAATAAGGCTGCCCAAAAGTTCCCTTCCCCCTTCTCCATCAGGCCCTGGGGTACGGGAAGCCTACTGAGGATGCCAGGCCTGCCCTCACTGTGCTACTCCCTTCATCCTGCTTTTCCAGCCCCACGGCACGCACGTGAGCAGGTGGGCGCTGGTAGAGAAGACACTTGGCATTGTTGACAGACAGAATCCTGCTGAGTCCCCTGCCCTCCAGGGCCTTGAAGCACCCGCGACAAATGATAAAACAGATACAAAATAATAGGGGGACACCGGCTGGTGTCCAAAGAACTCCCGTCACACTGCCAGCCGGCTGGTGTCCAAAGAACTCCCGTCACACTACCAGCCGGCGTGGGCAGAGCTAAAAGGCTCCGGGCCAAAGGCGCACCCCGCTGATCGCAGGGGCAACAGGGATGGGGGCGCTGCCCTGCAGCCCACTAGGTTCCAACCCTTGCCACCGAGAAGCAGGGAGAGGGAGGCGACTACACCGCCCCAGTGGGCCAAGGGCAAAGCCAGGGAGTGCTCTTAGACCCTGACCCCACACTTCCTTTTGGGGTCCGTGTGGGTCGGACCCAGATGGGCGCTGGCACGGGGAGGGCAAGGCCTCGTCCCGCCTGGCCTTGCCTGGAGGGCTGGGTTTATCGCTTCTCTTCTGGGAGTTTGGTTTCCTTTGCTGTCACATCGAATACGAAGGGAGTCGCTCTAAAGTTTAACAGATTAAAGGAGCTGCCAGCTCAAGACCTGGTGACACGTGGGCGAGGAAGCTGAGGAAGCGCAAGGGTGGCGGCCCTGCAGATGCCCCAGGCGCTGGAGGAAACTGGGGATGCGCTGCGCCCCCTCCCCGCCCCAGCTCTGGCCTCCCTCGGCTCCCCCGGCAGGGCAGGCTGACGAGC